CTCAAAATTAGAATATTTTCAGAAAAGTAAATTCTTAAAAGAATGTTAATTTATAGATTATATATCGATAAACAAAGCTATAAAAAAGTCAGTATAACCTTAGAGGGTGGAAAGAGAGAGCCAATAGACGAAATATATTATTAGCAGCAAATCGCAAGTTGAAAGAACACTGGGTCCCTAGCATTGAAAAAGATTATATTTTTTTAGAACGAGAAATGAGGTCTTACTATTATTTTTAAGAAGAGAATTTTCTATATACAGTTTTATTTGTTATGGTTTATACTGAATCTCCTTTATATCTTCTGTTATAAACTTCTATGGATTAGTTAATATAATTATGAATGAAAATGAGAGCTTAGAGAGTGGGTTTTTCTTATTACATTATATCGTTTTGCTTTAGAAATTAGTGGCTATTAACTTTGGAATCTCAATTTTGGTATATACCATATCAGGACCATGTCATTACATCAAAACTCTAAAGTCATGACAAAAATTGAGAGTTATAAATTTATAATTTAACCTGTAGAACCTTTTTACACAGCAATATATGCACACAAAACAATGTGATCTTCATTTTCCAATATACTGTATAGATTTTGTCTGTGAAGGAAAAAGAGGGAGGATGCGCATGTTGGTGTACTGAAGATGTTAAACAGCAACGATAAATTATACAAACGAAGACCGCTCCACTTAAAATAGAAGAAAGTTAAACATGAAATTGGTTGAACATATGACATGCATATATGTTAAGAGGTACAGTGATACTATATAACATAGAAGAATCTTCACAATTTGGTTATCTGTTCTCTTCTAGGCAAAAAAATAGTCAAAGGGTAGTGCATTGCATGGCATTCATCATAACACTTGGCTGATTAAGCTTTACTTAGAAAAATTATATCCATTATCTTTTTCTCTGAACAGAAGAAGTTTTGAGGTATGACATACTTATCATATATAGCTCTTCTTTTTAGCCGTTATTCTTCAAATTAATTCCTTGTATTAGTAGTTTCAAAGCTAGGATTTTGCAAGTGTTGACAAAATTGTCATTGCATGATCACAAGTAAATTAAACTAGATGCGCGGTATATGTTACCTTCGATCTGAGTTAGGAACCTGCTTAACTTGTATTAAAAAAAATCTACATATCAAGTTCGTAGCAAGTAAGTACTGGGGAATATTGCAGAATAGGCAGATAGAGCTGATGTTAGAAGATCTGTTGCGTAAATTTCTTATGTATTAATATATGCTTACCAGTTATATTTCAAGCAGTAGAAGAATACAGCAAAAATATTTGTCATAAGCAGTACCATAAATTACTTTAGACTTTCTTCCGTCTTCTTTGACAGTCTTTTCTTTTTATTTTCCTTTTTCCCTTTATTGTTTGCATTCTTATTTACCCTCAACTGCTATCACTAGAGTATCACTGTTAATTGATAGTTGGTTAGTATTACTTTTAATATCACATATATATGCTTTCTTAGATATTTCCCAGGTCAACCTTCTGATTTCACATTTTAAATCACACTAATTTGCGTATTTTTGAGTATTTTATTTCTTAAGTTACTATTGATTACTGATATAAATCGCACTAAAGAAATTTCGAGCAATGTCGTAATTTCTCAACCAAAAAAAATTTTTTAAAAATCATTTCAAAAGAGCTATAAATGCGTATGCATGGAATTATAAAAATAGACTAACTTTTAAGATCATTTAGAAAGTGAAAATTGCTACAGTAGTAGTCTACTGTGCCTTTATACATCACGCATAGTAAGATCTATACAAAATGATGAGAGGCCTCAAACAGTGTGAAGACAATATTCAGCAAAGAAAAATCTGAACAATATACTGATGATCATGTAGTGTGCTGTCCTAATGAAGTCCTCTTCACATAATCTAAAGGAGAATTTATTCTCTTGAACGCATGCATGGACAATTGCAAAACACCCCCACTAAACAATACAAGAAAGCCAAACAAACAAATAAGAACCATAGAATCAATGAATTGTTAAACTAATCATATAACGATCTTAGGTATAATTATGCATAATACATGTATGTATTATTGATTCATTCTCTTCCCCTTTTTAAGATTTATAACATCTGAAGATCATAAAGGGGGATAAATATATCAGGACCTTTAATTTGATCTTAGGGTTAGCTAATAAACCCTTGCACGGAGGATCCAATTAATTAATTGTGGCTTATTATAAGGATGACTTAGTACTAGCATTCTTTTTACAGTGTATGTAATCACTGTTCAACAGGTGGCTTCTCCCAAAAGATCAAAGGTTGCAAAATACTAAACTAAAACTAAGAATGAGAATATAAGAACAAACACTTGCTCATTTCTACATTAGCAAAGCAGAATTTTCCCCAGGAAAATCTCGTCTATTCATACTTATTTATTTATCTTTTTTCGTGTTGTGGGAATCCACCAACAAACAAAGGACATATCTTGCTTATTGTATCTTTATTGGTTGAATAAACCCGACATTTTTCTCTATCTTTTCTTAATTTTATTTTATTTTTCATCTAAATTTCTTGTTTATGTTGTGCCAATCCAACACAAATCATTATTTGATCTACTTAATTATTTAACATCTGAAGATCATAAAGGGGTATAAATATATCAGGACCTTTGATCTTAGGGTTAGCTATATAATAATCCCTTGCATGGAGGATCCAATTAATTAAGTGTGGCTTATCATAAGGATGACCTAGTACTAGCATTCTTTTTACAGTGTATGCAATCATTGTTCAATAGGTGGGTTCTCCCAGAGGATCAAAGGTTGCAAAATACTAAACTAAAACTAAGATTGAGAATATAAGAACAAACACTTATTCATTTCTACATTAATAAAGCATGCAGAATTTTCCCCAGGACACTAGCAAAGAGAATATAACCTCCACCCAACTCAAAAAATAAAAAAAAATTGTATATGTATGTATGTATACATATATAATATATGTGTGTGTGTATGTATTTATGTATATATGTATGTGTGTGTGTGTCTATATACATATATATATATACATATACATATAGATGCAGTCATAAACAGGAATGGCACAATTCATCATACACATGTAATATGGTTCAACAAAATGTAATCCTTATTTAATTACTTTTGTACCAATATGGAATCCATAGCACTTACCATGATTAATGCATACTACAAATTTCAAGGAATATCAAAGCCTCCTCGCCTCCTATTTATGTCACTTAAAGGGTTATGAGGAGTACTGGTGTTATTATTACTATCAGGATTAGGATTATTACTATGAGGGTTATAAGGGATAGGTAAAGTAGAATGAGGAGGAAGGGAAGGCTGATAATTATAGGGAGGAGCTGACTGCGGTCCAATTTGCATCGGCAGCGAAAACCCCGAAGGGATATCGCCGCATGCTAATCGAAGCAGATCAGCATTGGCAGCCTCAAGCTCCTTCTGAAGCCTCTGAACCTCTCTCTGAAGAACTGATATAGCGCCAACGCAGCCATACACTGGATCTTTGATCCTCGCCTCAGCCTCATATGCGAGAGAGTTCACAGCATCTTCTCTCTGATGAGGCAGGAGATCGTTGAGGATCTTTGTCACGTTGCTCGCTCCGAAGATCTTGTGAACATTGATGAATTTCTGAGGCTCTTCTGGAGGGAAGTAGGGAGCAAAGATGCAGCCTGGCATGCATTTCCTCCTCAAGAACTTGCAAGCTGCACAAGGGGAGTTTGACCCAGTGGAGGATGAAGATGCCATTTCTGTATAGACTATATGAGATCTCAATAATGTTATTAGGAGCACTAATATAATCATATTTATAATAATCGTTTAGTTGATGGGCAGTTTTAATTTGTGAAAGGGTCTTTTAAGTGATATTATAACAATATTAGGGTTAGGGGTCCCGTAACTGAATAATTTCAGGAAGAATTTACAACACAAATCTGACTCAGCTAGAACTTTTGATTCTATAGTATCAGTGCTAGGCAGGGTAAACTTCTGTATTGACTAACTAATTTCTTTCTAATTAACGTGAGAGATATATCTTTGATCTTTACTTGTAGGGAAGAAACCAACAAGGGAGATAAACT